GTGGTCCAATTTTGCAATCCTTCAAAGACCTCCCCCTAACCATAAGAGTATAAGTATAGATCAGAGGTTGTTGCCCATATTATGCTCTGTCCATTATAAGAATGAGGTCTTGTGATTATTTTGCTAACATATTTAAAGTGCATTTGAAGCACTAGAAATAAGCATTAATGAGAATAATATGTCTAAAAAGAACCAAATTGGCCATACCAATTGGTTTGAAGCAAGCACTTATTATCTCATCAGCAACTATGGTGTCTTCTTTGCCTACCCACTCAAAGTGAAAAATGCCCATATATTTGGTTAAATAGCCTTCCATTAAGGATGCAAAAATAGCACTAACGGTATTTAAGAGGAATAGCTTGAACAAATGTGTAGTTAAATTGCTATGTACAAATCATCTAGGCTTCAGTTGTTTTAATTCAGTGGAAATGAGAAATTCTGGTTACATTCAGTAGGAGTCAGTTAACAAGTAAGATATATAATTGGTCTTACGGCAGTCTTCCTTTTCCTCCAAATACAGTGTAAAGTCACTTACACTGATTCTTCAGATGAAATAATCATTAAATTAATTCTAAGCAGTTTTTATCCTGAAAATCTATATAAATTTCATCGGGCCCTTAAAACCTATTTTTTTCAGTTAGCCGTGCTCTCCTGATTTTATGGTGGGTTTTTAAAATTGATATTGATTTTAATTGAAATGTTTTAAATTATGGGCCAAACTTTATTTAATTATTTTAAATCTATTTTAACTTTTGTGTACAAATGTTTTATTTTGGCTGTTCACTGCCCTGGGTCCAAAAGGAGAAGGGTGGTATAGAAATCTGAAAAAAACAAAACAAACAAAACAAAAATAAAAATGTAAATGTCCGTTTGTACATAACCACACATCTCCGAAAGTTCTTCACCGATTGCTTTCAAATTTTGACACAACGTTGCATTCGACTACGGGCTTGTTTTTATATATCTATATTCTATACATGTCACACCTGTGACAGGTAAAAACATGAAAAACATTGGAAACATTGAAAGACATTGACAAACATTGAAAAACAGCGCCATCTGCTGGACGTAAAACCAACATGGCAGCCTCCCAGCCCTGATTATGCTCAACAGATTTCTGCTCCTTATATTTAGACTCTCCATATTGCTTCCAAGAAACTGCGCATTTGGAAGGCAGAGATGCCTGAGGGCCATATCCTGTCACCAGGCTCGGCAGGTAGGCAGCCGCTTCCCCGCCAGGAAGCCCTCGCAGCCGGCGCTTCTAGGGCTGGCTGGGGCCCACCTGAGCCTGGCTCTGACCTCCCACTCCCCCGGCCACCCCACGAACTAGCCTCACCCGCCGCTGCTGCCCATCCCCCTCACTAGCCGCTCTCGGGGCTCCCTCCAAAGAACACCTGACAATGAGGCTGCCTGGGTCCGCCGAGCGGGAACCCTCCATCCCTCGCCTGGCCTGAATCGCGCCTGGCCCAGCGCTACCATGGGCCCCGAGGTCAGAAAGACCAGCCACTAACCAGCGCTATGCGAATCCGGTCAGTGAGCAGGAGATGGAGGCAACTGGAACCTCGGGGTCGCCTTTGACCAGTGCCGCCTTTGATTCCCAGGTGGGCGCTCTGGCAGTTCACAGAGCCTACACGAAAATTTTGGCCTCTGGCAGAAAAGGGGCTCCGAGGAGGCTTCGGGAGGGTGCTGGAAATGGGCAGGAGGGAAGATGGCCGGCTCTCCTTCGTTTTGCCTCGAAGAGCGGGAGAACTGTGCAGCAGGGGTCCAGTGGGGTGTGCATGGCTCCTGGCTTTACCGCTTTCTTCCTTCAAGCGGGAAGCCCCAAACCAGCCTTGAACCCCCGCCGCACCCCCTCCCTCCCTCCCTTCCCCTCCCTGCTATGCTTCTCCCCATCGAGCCCCCAGAGAACATCTGTGTAGGGAGGATGGAGGGCCCCCCCGAGTTTCTGCTGTGGTGCGGAGAGTTGCGAAGGCCTGGCCTGAAAAGGTAAGGGCGATGGCAGGGGATGCAGAAGAGGCCGGGCCAGAGACAGAGATAAACAGAGAGAGAGGGAGAGAGAGACATAGAGAAATACAGAGAGACGGGGGGGAGAGACACATACAGAGTTACAGAGCGAGAGGGTGGGAGAGACAGAGACAGAGACAGAGGGGGGAGAGAGACACACATAGAGAGATACAGAGGGGGGGAGAGAGACATAGAGAGATACAAGGGGGGAGAGTGAGAGACATAGAGAGATACAGAGAGGGGGGAGAGAGACACAGAGATACAGAGGGGGGGAGAGAGACGGAGATACAGAGAGAGGGGGGAGAGAGAGACATAGAGATACAGAGAGAGGGGGAGAGAGAGACACATAGAGAGATACAGAGGGGGGAGAGAGAGACATAGAGAGATACAGAGGGGGGAGAGAGAGAGACATAGAGAGATACAAAGAGAGAGGGGGAGACAGAGAGGGAGGATTTTGTGGTTCCCATTGTTTTTTAGCAACTGGTTCTCTGCCCTAATCATCAACTGGGTAGGCATGGCTCAGGGGCTGTCATGTGACTGATGAAAGTGAGTGACGTCGAGTTGGCCACGCCCACTAAATGTTCGTGGAGAGTTTGGAACTTCAGCCTCGCTCTTTTAGCCCAGCGGAAGCACCAGACTGGGCCACAGCAACGCGTGGCCGGGTACAGCTAGTCAGAATATAAAAATTGTAATCAACAGCTAGACACTTGAACACATACTATGCAATAAAGCATAAGAATAGTATGAAAGTTATGCACAGTATTGGCCATTTGTAGAAGATGTAAATCTGCAATTTGGATATAGAAAAAACAACTGAAACATAGGGAGCGCTCTAGCTGTTACATTGCCAAAGTGCTGCATTGCATATGCAGATAAACGTCTTCCATTTTAAACAAGCACTTTCATTGTTTCCTTACAGTAATTTATTAAGTTATAGCACCTCGTGTTCAATAGATTTATGCCAAAAATATATGACTGTAAATCAGGTAGTGATTTACACAATGATTGAATGGTCACTATTGACTATTCGGTCTAACTGATTGGACTTCAGTAACATCTAATAAAATCTGTAGATATTATATGATTATAGTATACTACATAGCTTTATATGAAACTTGATATTTTATTAATATGGGAATGAAAGGAGTTCTTTATTTAGAACATCTGTTATCTGCTAGAACAAACTTAGAACCATTATTAATGATAACTTGAATTGTTCTTGCATTATGATCTCTGTTGCATACAACATGGACCTTATACAGGATGCATAGAGATTGTTTGTTTTCTAATACTAAACAACTTTCTTTGCAGTAAGATGTAGCTTTTTTTCCCTTATCATCCTGCAGAAAATGAGTATGCAACCCCAGTTTTCATGATAGGTAGTATAGTTACCTTTTAAAACAACAACAACGCCCTATCCTTGGAGGACTATTTTTTCCCATATCTGAAATTGCTGAAAAGAAAATATTGGGGTTGTCTGGTCTGTCTGTTTCCATGCAGAACACTGCTCAGAACATTCTTGTGCTTTAAGATATTTCTGCTTCTGGAATAAATATAGCCTAGGTATAGAAAACAGTGCAAAGCTAATGGTTTCATAGCTTTCTATTACTGCATGTGAAAAATATTCAATAAACTACTATGTATTATTATTAAACTTTTCTCCGGTATTTTCTGGGGAACAAAAAATATGCAATGGAAGTTTAGGTATTAAAGGGTTCCCCCAAATGACACTGGAACATCTGTCCTACTTGCAGCATATATCAATGTGACTGAATTTCCATATTGCAGAAGAGCAAGGTCTTTTTATTAAGTAGTACTGGGGCAAATGTAGATTGATTTATACCAATTGATCTCTAAGATATTCTTGTTCATAGCTGCCCCAAAAATCTTTCTCATCTACCTTTTATTAGAAGAAAAGACATCAAAGACAAATTTAAACTCCAAATAACCAAATTTAAACTCCAAATAATCAAAAAGAACCATGGCTGACTTCCTTAGTAATATAAATAATAAATTAAATAATAAACAATAAAGGCAGGATACAAATAAATAAAATAAGAGAAAAATGTGTGAATGGTTAAATAGATTTTTTTTTCTTTTTAAAGGTATGTTATTGCTGTTGCCCAAGCAACAATCAAGCCTATAACTATCATGTAATATGACAGTAGTATCAATGTCATAAAGGGATGCTATATTGAACTTAAACTTCACCTTATTTCAAAGGCTATGTCTGTGTCCCTGAGCATGTGCAGATTTTTTTTTTATCCTCGGTCCTTATAACCAGATATTCCTGGATATTGTGAATATTCCCTCCAGACCCTATTGGTGTCTTTCTTTAGAAATATTCCTCTTTTGCAGGCTGAATTTTTTCTGCAGTGGTGATTCCATTTCACTGCGATAAATACAGCATCTCTGGATTTATGCCACATTTCTGGATTTGTGTTTTTCCTTTCTTCCCTCCCTGGTTTTTTTTTTTTTTTTTTTGGCCTTGCTGTATATCCTTGTGAAGGATCTCCTGGGAACCATATTATCTTTGTTCATGTTTTATTCTTGAAATCAGAACTGGAGTGTAGTTGTATTTTACAGATTGGCAATTTCAGTATAATTAAGCTTCATGAATATGAAGTTTCCTGTAGAATTCCCACAATACCCTGTGGTTAGATTTAGTGGTAAATTTCTATCTCTTCTTATTTGTGATATCTTAGATGTCACTTTTGTTCAGCAGTTACATGATGTTGATTCTCAAGAAATACAAACTGCATATTTGTTAATGTTTAATTTTTGGCAGATTGTCTTTGAAAGATGCTTATACATAGAATTGTTTGGAGTAGAGTAAAATCAATTATATACTGGTAATAGTCCAGTATATGCTTTATGCTGTGTTACAAAGTTTTTGTTACAATCTGCTTGAATCCTGGGAAAGGAGAGGGTTTTTTTTAAAAAACAAAAACAAAAACAAATTAGAACAAAAGTTTGTGCCATTGCACAAAGTATAACCAAGAAATTTGATTACCCAGGTCAGAAATAGAGCTGATTGAGTCATAGGAATGCAGGGACATATCCTGTTTGTATAGACAGGGATGCATATGTTTATAGCAAATAATTGGGAAATGTGTAGTTCCTTTATAAATACAATTTAAAAATCTGTAAATTTATACCTGTTAAAGAAAGTGAGAAGATGTGTTACAAAACATGTTGATTATATATTTAATTAAAGTATTTTTACCTTATACTTCACTTGAAAAAAACAAAACAAAAACCAGAGTCGCATACAGACAACCAGTAACATCAAATCAGTCTGTGCGTGCAGGGCATCTAAAAGCAATTATACAGCTACTCATGTGCTCCCTTTCTCATTCTCTCTTCCTTTCTCTCTTTCATCCCCAGTCTTGTGCTTTCCACCCCCATCCTGCCCATGAGAAGGAAAGATTTTTAAAAAGCACCATAAGGCATTAGTTATTGATGTTGTGAGGTTCTTCCAATGGTTAACATTTGAAAGAGATGGATTTGTCTGATACAGTATATCCCTTTATGCTTAAAATTGCTTGATACAATAATAGTATAGTGGAGTTTTTCGGTTTCAGCAGGGCATTTCTTTTGGTTTGTGGTAGTGCTGGGTGCACAAGGAATGGTGCTGAGGAACACCATCGTTAAATTTAATTTAGACCCCACCATTTTCCCTTTTAAACATTTCCTCCGTCCTGGACCTAGGTTGTTTTTAATAACATCAAAGAGCCTAGTGAAGGTCATGCTGTGTGCATGTGTCAGGCTTAATTGTAATTGAACACGTCATTCCTGAATTTCCTTACCCCCCTAGGACAGGGAGTCAGAAAGACTGTATTTAACATCCCAATTAGCTGCCCTGGGGCTGAGACTGGCATGATTTTGTGATGGTGCTGCTAGTGATAGTGTAAGACAAAGAAAGGAAGAAAATTATTGGTCTCCAAGCTGGTAAGATGAGGTTGATGGGCCCATCTTACACATAAGGATGCATTTTGATTCAGTCTTTTCCACCTGAAAAATATTAAAATAAAGTGCATGTAACCAGCTTTTAAGGCACAGATGAATTTAGGTAACAGTGATGATTAATTAAAAAAAATCAGTATACACACTGAATTGATTCTTGGAACAACTGAAATGTTAGAGAAAACAAAATCTGTATGTACAAAAGGAATGGGAGGAAATGGGAAATTGAAATTGAAATTGAAATTAGAAGTGGCAACATGAAGTAATCTGAATTTAAATTTTCAATCTGGGTATCAATTATATCGCTAATGAAATATAATCAAACTATCCCCAACTAAAATTTATCCAGTGAGGAAAAAATGATGCAATTAATATAATTTAGTGGACTTTTTTTTAAAAAAAATAATATACAATGCACTTTTAGACGTGATGATGAATTGGTTAAATATTTTGCTAGTGTGTATCTAATGCATTTCACCACTTGAAAGAATACATTTTATTTAACGTTTAACCTTGAGATTAAATTTCAGGCAGTAGCATTAAAAATGATTGGAACCAAAGTAGAATCTGTTCCAAACTAGATAAAGGAGCTTCTGTTTGTAAATGTAGTTTTTATAAAATGAAAGATACATATTATGCAGTAATAATTTAAATGTATGCATTTCTTACATGAGTTAATTTTAGTCTCTGATTTTTGCTAATTAAAAATAAATTGCATGTATATCTGAAAATAGATATTAAAGTAACATATTTAATAGCTGCTGAACTTTTTGTGCTATGCTCTCACTGTTTTTTTCCACTAGTATATCATTTTCCAGTAAACTGTATATTCACCAAAGGAAAGGCTACACTTAAGTCTATTACATTTCATAAATGTCTGTGACCATTTAGATAGATAAATGATGTTTATTTATTTATTTATTATTATTTATTTATTAGTCCAATTTATATGCCGCCCTTCTCCGTAAACTCAGGGCAGCTTACAATGCATTAAATAAATAAAATAAATAAATAATTTTATTTCTATACCGCCCTTCTCCCGAAGGACTCAGGACAATGTACAGCCTATTAAAAGCACAAAGACAGACATCAGTTAAAAATAATTAAAATTATTAAATAATTTCAAATCCAAATTTAAAACCCCCAAAATTTAAAACACCTAATTTAAAAATCATTACATTGATAGCCCGGCCTGGTGGAACAACAGGGTCTTGAGGGCACAGTGAAATACACGGAGGTCGGAGATCTTACGCATTTCCTGGGTATGCAGGCTATTATAGCAATAGCCTGCATACTTTTATGTATATACCTGCTTATTAGGGCTTTTGGTCCCCTCCTAAGCGGTGTTGTTCTATACAAAGCTGGCTTATTGCCCCCACAATTCGGGTCCTTAATTTACCTACCTCAAAAGGATGGAAGGCTGAGTCAACCTTGAGCCTGGAGAGATTTGAACTCGCACTAATTGCACTAATTGCAGGCAGCTGGCAGCTAAGTGCTAGCACTTAACAGCACTTAGTCCGCTGCACCACCGAGGCTCTATTTATGTTCTCTTTTTTTCCTTGGGAAATGAAGGGCAAAGCTGTTTTTTCTATTTCTATATCTAATGAGCAGAAGGAATGTAGCAGAAGGTATGAGAAAACTTGATACAGTTCACAAGTTCCTACAAGAAATCTTGCTATAGCAATGTTTATAACTGTAGCCTGTAGAATTTGAGCTTTGTTGGATAGCAAAGTAGTGTAAGCATGGACTTTTAACAGATGTATTATATTGTGGTTTTGGATTATCTGGGTCTATGACCTCTAATAAAAATAATTCAATTTATAATAATAGTAAACTAGCAGCCAAAGCAGATGATAACAAGACCTGGCAATGGTTAAGAGCAGTAAAGTTGAAGAAAAAGACAGTGAGGCTAATTCTAGCTTCACAAGAGCAAGCCTTAAGAACAAATGTATAGAAAGCCAGAATTGAGAAGACAGAAGCAAACCGCGAATGCCATATTTACAAAGTAGTTGAAAAAACAGTGGATCATCTAGCTAGCTGCTGCAAGAACAGCAACCAAACTGATTACAAACAATGGCATGACAAAATAACAACAATAGTGCATTGGAACATTTGCAAGAAATACCATTTACCTGCTAGCTAGAACTAGTGGGATCACAAAATAGATAAAGTAATAGATAATGAAGAAGCTAAAGTGTGCTGGGATAAGTTTAAAATAAAAAAAAATAATGGAAATAGAACCACATGTAACTGGATTTGAAACAGAATTATGCACAAATGATGAACATGTGATTGCTAAAATGTGTAAATTTCTGTTGAGATCTGAAGTGGAAGAACAAATTAAAGAATGCATGATAAAATGAACTAAGGATTTTGGTTATAATATACAAATGGGTCAATGGAAAAAAATGCCATTAAAAGGACTTAAATTCACATTTAATTGAATGTGTTGTAATTTAAGAGGGAATGTCTGTACAGTGATGTACTGTTAATATATGTTATCAGATAAATTATCTTAAGATGTTGAAAGATACTTCTAATCATTGTTGGAAATGGGCAAAGAATAAAGGGACATTTTACTATGCATGGTGAACTTGTGAAAAATTGAAAAAATATTAGTCACAAATACATGTGATGATTCAGAGAGAATTTTAAAAATTAATACCAGATGAAACCATAATTTCTTCTATTAAGACTCATGGATAGCCAATTAGAAAAGACTCAGGTTGATTTTATATATGATAACAGCAGTGAGGTTACATATGCAAAAAAGATGGAAAAATATAGAACCACCACAACGGAGGATTGAACTGTGAAAATGACAGAATTAGCAGAAATGGCAAAATTGACCTGTTTCATCAAGGATAAAGCAATAAGTACTTCTGTAAAAAACACAAAATCCTTTATGGAGGGTTTTTTCACCTGAAAATGGATAAAAATGATGATGATTTCTGGATGTGCTGATTGAAAAGGGTGAATTATAGGTTGAAAAGAACTGTGATGTAATCTTGATGGAATTAATTTATTTGTAACTTCATTTGTAAGTGCTGTAAGGAAGGTTGGAAATAAAGTTTTGTTTCATTTTACACATTATAATACTAGATCTGAAAAGAATTCAGTGAATGTCTGTTCTGAAATGTCCCTGGCCCCAAGTACCATAATCAACTTGTGCTTTAGATTAAAACTAGTTTTGACTTTCCTGGACCTCTTTGCCATCAGGAACTGCTGTCACAATAGCAGGGATAAAATTAGTCCTGAAGAAATGAATGCATTTGCTTTTGAAAAAAGGGGGATATCACTTTCTAAGCTTTCAAGCTTGGTGGTTTAATGCTATTTCTATTTTATCTGATCATGCAAAGCTGAGCAGGATCTGATCTAATTAATCTTTGGATAAGAGACTATCAGGAAACCTCATCAATTAGATTAGGAATTTGAAAAAAATATCCCAGAAAATGGCAATGAAGAGTTTCATGTTGTGCTAAGGAAACATGTTTGAACCCGACACAAAATAAATTTTACCTTTACAAAGGAATTCAAAAATTCTATGTGCAATTCCTATTCAAAGTTATTTTTTTTATTAAAGTTACCTTTTGAATTCTTTGGGGGAAATAAGACAGGACGTGCTAGATTCATAGTCTGTTGCTTTTATCACCAAATGGGCTACTTAAATAATAACTAATAAAAAGGTATAATTTTAAATAGATTATTTCTGGAATATAGATTCCTACTTTTAAAACTGATTTGTCTGACCATATTTATGAGCTTTCTTAAGAACATTTGAATGGTGGGTTCCCATGCTGTGGAATTTTTTCCTATAAATCAATGTTTCTCAATCTTGACAACATTAAGATGTGTGGATTTAAACTTCCAGGATTCGCCAGCATGCTAATTGTTGAGTTCTAGAAGTTAAAATCCATATGGCCTAAATCACCAAAGTTAAGCAACACTGCTATAAGGATGGGGTTGATTCTTTGGCCCTGCTTTTTAATCTGCCTTGAATAAATAAATAAACAAGTAGAACTTAAAAGAATTGTTGTATGATTTATTTAGTTACTTCTGAATTACTGTGTTTATAAACTTCTGAACATTATTTTATATTTAAAATGTTATATTACAGTGGTGTTGCTTTTGCTATCTTAAGGTGGTTTAGTCTGGAAAAAAATGTATAGTTTACCAAATCATAAGGTTTCTAATGAGGCATGATACAATGAAAAAGAGAAATGTTTAAAAATAAATTTCAATAATTTAATTCAAATCCCTAGAAATTTTATTTATTTAAAAATATTTTCCCCTTTCCCCATATTTATATTGTTTGTAAAATTCTTGTGTTTTTTTTAGTAAGATCATAATGAATAGGAAATAATAAAATCAATACAGCGACCATTTGACAATAAGTAAAAATGTTTCAACCATTACAGTTGCTCAAAAAAGTGCAATTGTTATTTTTATTCTTAATTGCTGATATATTCATACCTCTCCATTATTGTCTTATCCAGCAGCTTTGTTTAGCATGGCCAACTCTTTTCTAGGGAGGGTTGAACCTGTAGATCTCTTGTCTGGCCACTATGAAGGTCTTGTATAGCATTTTGTTCAGAATTGGCAGGGTCTTTATGAGAAGAGTCTGACATGGTTCCATCTTTCTATGTTGATGGGGACTTCCCTTGGCTTATGGACTGATAAAGTGAATAGGTGTTCTCTAGATTGATTCTCTACTCAACCTCAGGAATGGGTCAGGGAGAGCATGATGGCTGGATTCAGGAGATCATCAGTAATCTCTGTATGTAAAAGGGTGATGCCTGAAACATTGAAAAAGACCATGGTGCACACATTGTTCTATTTCGGAGGAAGGTTGTGGTGAGAGTGGTTGGAGAAGTAATTATAGAGTGACCTAGACATAAATGATATAGATTCCTTTCCATCTAGATTCAGGCATGGGCATGGGACATAAATGGTGTTGGTTAATTTGTCTGCCTGCCTGCCTGCCTATCTATATCTGAATTTTATGGCCACCCACTCACTCATAGTGACTCTGCACATCTTACAAAAATAAAAATCTAATATGCAAACAGTAAAAACAATAACCCTTCATACCCCTGGCAACAACAGTCAATAAGAAAGCCACTTGATAAGCTCCATCCCACTCTGGATTCCCCAGGCCTGTTGGTAAAACCAGATCTTTAGAGCCTTGCGAAAGAGTGTCACAGTGGGGGCCAATCTAATCTCCCCAGGGCTGATGTTCCAAAGGGAGGGAGCCACCATGAAGAAGGCCCAGATGTGATTTATGAAAAATTAACTGACAGTATTGACAGCTCTGCAAATTCCTGTAACTCCTTACTACTGTATATCTGGCTGAATAAGTATTTGAGAGATTCAAAATCATATCATCTGCAAATAGATTTAAAATATATTTCTTATCTCATATTTTCATTCCACAAATGTAATTATTAGATCTAAATCCTATTGCCAGTGTTTTATAGCTTGGTTGAATAGTAAAAGTGACATGGGTAAATCTTGCTTGGTACCTCTTGAAATTGTGATGGGAGCTGAATCATAACTGCTAAGTCTTATCTGGCCTTTAATTGATCCATAAATATTTTCAGTAGTCTTATGAAAACTAGCCCAAATTTGGATTTAATTATTTGTTTTAAAAAATACATTTCCAGAAAATAAAAAGCTTTAAATATATCCAAAAAGTAAATGGCTAGGTAAGATTTATTAATTTTAAATTGCATAATATTTAATAATTTCCTGATGGGGTAATCACTTTTAATCGATTAGTTAATCATTTAGTTGATAGTCTGTATTAAGTGAAATGGGCCTACAAAATGCCTGGGAATCTTTACCTCACTTAAGAATCAAAGTAATCTTAGACTGTTTCCAATACTGCTAAAGGATCCCCTTGGTGCTAAATACTGCATAAAAATAAAAATTCAAGTATTAAAATGTGTTTCAATTCGTTATAAAATTTCCCTGACAATCAATTAGGCCAGGATATTTTCCATTTTGAACAGTATCAAAAACTTCAAAAATTTCTGAAATGGAAATAGGAGATTCTATGAGTCTATCTTCTAGAATCAGTTCTATTTAGAAATTGATTAATTTTTATTGGTGATGTTTGGAAGTTGATTCATGGCAGCTGGGCTTCTTTTCTTTTTTGGTTTGAAATGTTCTGCTGCTTATCCAAGAAGATTCAAACCAAAAAATGAAAAGTCCCATTGCCATGACTCAACTTCTGGTCAACACTGCCTGGATTACTGAGAAATTTTGATATGTTGGTGATGGGTTATTTGAAGAATATAATTGTTGAAAAAAAGTTTAAATTGTTCACATATCTTTGGTTTTGGCCACAATTTGACCAAATTTTTAATTGCAGTAATATGTTTACCTTAGCTTTTCCAGTTTGCTTGCCAATATTCTAGAAATTTTGTTATCATGTTCGATTATCTTTACTTAGCAAGAATATTTTGAGAAGAGATTTTATCTATCTCCAAATCATCTAGATATCTCCTTTATTTACTAACTGTTTATGTCAGATGTAAATGCCTTATTCTCCAATGTGTAAATAATGTATATATGGAACATCAGAGGTTAACTTATTCTTTGGACTTTAATGTATTCATAACTTACCACTCCCATTCCTAGCTCCACCCCTTGTATATATAAGGAGCCACCCTCACCATTCTCGTCGCTTCTACCTTGAATATTCAGTGAATATAGAATGCCTATCATAATTAAAAAGAAATATATTTAAAGCTTTAACTTCTATTATCTTTATTGAGTCTGATCCTGAAAATATTTCAACAAGCTGGTAGCAGAGGATGGTTAATTGACTCAATAAGTAATTAAAAATGTCCAAGAAAGATAGGCCCAACACCAGGGCCTACAGCAAAGAAATAGAAACTGATCAAGAGATGATCAACGAATCCACCAATGCGATTTCGAGAGAATCCGAAGAATACACCACTGAAGAAGAAGAACTAATGAGTGAAAATAATGACCAGAAAGAAATCGAAATAGAAAATAACGAACTCAGGTCAGAGATATTAAAGATACTAAAAAGCCAAAAGAATGATGAAAGTCTCATCGCGGACCTCCAGGAGATGCTGAAGAACAGCGGAGCAGCGAGAGAGAAAAACGTCGTTAAAGAAAAACCCAAAGATCAAAAAATCGTAAGTGAGATGACTACTGAGAAAATAGTTGTTAAAAAGAAAAGATGTGATCCCGCGCGAAATTTTGAATGGCAGCCATCTTGGTTTCAACGAACTTTAAAAGAGAATGGAGCAGAACCAATCAAAACGCTCGGTTCAAAATTTCTGGCGCGAAAAACACTATCAGACGAAGAAAGTGAGAAAGAAGTCTCAAACTCTTCAGATGATCCAAAATCAGAAAGTGAAGACGATTTAACAAAATCTCAAGTAAAATCAGCAATGAAAACGCTTTTTGCTGCTTTTGGGCCAAGACTGAAAATTACCAAGACATCTACGAAGAAGCAAGAAATCAAACCGGCGACTCAAGACCTGCACGCTCCCATCCTGACTTCGAAAGCGACGACGCCCGAGCCCAGAGAGCCATGCCGATTTCGCCCTACACCACAGACAAAATCGAATACCAACGCACACAAAAAGAAGAAAAGAACCGTCACCACCACCAGAACCCCAAAAACCGAGCCAGAGACCGACTCATCTGAGGAGGAGCGGATCGAGAGAGCTGAAAGGGAGAGAACCTTCCACGACGCCACCAAAGAAGAAATGAACAACGCGCATGTGCGAAACTACGTAGACGACCCAGAAGGACTTGAACTGGCCAGAGAACCGCGCAGACTCATTGCAAGCATCCCAATGCCGTTCTGTAATTTCCTGCACTTGAGAGATCACGGACTGCCCCAGGTTGTAAGTAATGGACAGAATAATGTAGGTAACTTACCCAGTGACTTCCCAAAACTTAGAATTGATGGCATTAATTTACAAGAGTGGTATCAACAGCTTCAGGTTATTTTCATGAAAGAAAATTTACTATTCTTTATAACTAGCCCTCCAAGAAGACCTTGGACTTTAAAAATAGATTGTTTACATCATAGAGCATTTTTCATAATAATATCTAGCGTGTCTCCTGCAATGTATCATAGCATCAAACCAAACCTAACTGTATCAGAAATAATTCAATGCATGTTTAATCTATTTCACAGCGATAGCGTAGCTACAACCACAAGAATGTCTAAGGATTTCTTTTCCTCTAGAGTAAAACCAGGGGTTTCTATAAGTGAGCATTTGATAAATCTAAACAAAATAAGAGCTGAGCTACAATTGAGGGGGGAAGTGATTTCAGATCAAACAATGAAAAGTGTTATTATCAATTCACTTGATCCATCATGGGATAGCTTTATGTCACACTTAGATACCATTAATTTGGGATATTTATCCATAGAAAGTCTATCTAACAAATTGATAGCAGAAGACAATTCAAGAAAAAATCGATCCAGTAACCAAACAGACCACAAACCCTTTAGGAAAGTAGTCTTTCAAGATAAACATAATGAGGCCTTTAGATGCTACAATTGTGGATCCAGGGAACATAGTAGAAGAGACTGCCCCAAAGTCTCAAGAGAGAGACTTAGACCAGAATATAGGAGCAAATATAATTACAGACAATCTTCCACAGATAGACACAAATATAGAAGCCCACCAAATTACAAAGAAGGTAGAGGGGTAGAGAAAATTCAAAAGAGAGGAAATCTGGGTCACTGAATGGGCTAAATAAACAAGACAGCAACAGAACACAGCAGGATGAGAATAACAATTGGCTTATTGATTCTGGTGCAACAAATCACACCACCAACAACAAAAGTATATTATCTTCATTTATAGAAGATAAGTTTGTGATAAAGGTAGCTAATCAAGAAAAGGTTCAAGTACTAGGCAAAGGAAATGTGACCTTGCCTGGTCTAGGGAAAATAGAGGGGGTATTATTAATCCCAGAAATACCTCACAACATACTAAGTGCCATAAAATTAAGCAGAGAATCTGATATCAATATAGTTTTCTCAAAGGGGAAAGCAACTATAGAAAAGAACAAAACAAATGTAGGTACTGTAATGATAAAAGGAGGTCTACCCTATCTGATAACTAAAGAAAGATGTTTACATAACATTGATTCAAATATGGAAGATTGTATTGAAGCAGATGATGAAAATGTCAGTAACAGTGACAATGATGAGTGTAGAATAGCTCATGATCACAAAAACACATACAAGGAAAAGAAACCAAAAATAGGTAAACCAATTCATGATGAGTGTGCTCACATCTTACACAGGAAGTTAGGACATGCAAGCTTTCCTGTAGTACAAAAAATGACTGAACACGCAGAAGGTGTCAAAATAAAAAATTGTGAAAATTATTTGGAATGCTCAGTATGTAAGTCCACCAAACTAAAAACCAGTCCCAGACCAAAAAAATCTAACAGATCAACTAACAATATTTTTGATTTGGTACATATGGACTTAGTTGGTCCATTAAGTCCCTCAATTACCTATAGAAAACGTTACTTCCTAACAATAGTGGATGACTACAGCCGATATGGTTTTGTTTACACATTAAAGCACAAAGATGAAACATTTCAGAAATTCAAGGAATTCTACAAACGTATAGAAACACAACATAATATCAGAATAAAGCAAATTATGACAGATAGGGGATGTGAGTTCATGTCTAAAGAATTCTCCCAATGGTTAAAGGATAGAGGAATGTTACATTTCACGTCCAATCCTTTTTCTGCATTTCAAAATGGAGTTGCAGAGAGGAAAAATTCCACACTACAAACCATGATTAGGTGCACATTAGAGGATGCTGGTTTAGGCAAACAATTTTGGTCAGAGGCATTACATTATTCGAATTACACTCAAAATAGAACCTGGTCCAGTATTGTGAATAAGACACCATATGAGGTGATGTACAATAGAAAACCCAAATTATCACACATGCACATATTTGGAGTCACTGCAGACGTACACATACCTAAACAATTGAGGAGAAAGGGAGAAAACGTATCCAGGAGATTAAGATTCATGGGATACGAAACTGGAACCAAAGGGTACAGATTTATTGATAGTAATAACAAATTTATAGTATCCAGAACAGCTGTGTTCCATGAACAGGCCAATTGGTCAAAATTGCACCTTAATGAAATATTTCCTAATAAATGTAAAGATACGATATCTTGCGAGGAAGGAACAACAGAAAATCAAAATATTAACAAAAGTAAGAACAAAACCAAAACTTGGACTAATAGTCAGCATAAAATAAAGACAGACACATTAACAAAAAAGGAAGCTAGATATTTGCATGATAACCATAGCAAGCCTGAAAGAACTATTAGAAACAATAGAAACCAAATACCAAATAAATACAAAGATTACATAATGCATATGAATGGAGAACAAATAACACCTAATACATATGAAGAAGTATTGAAACTTCCACATGAAGAAAGAGAAAAATGGGAACTAGCTATGGAAAAAGAGATGGAAAGTTTACAAGGATTAAATGTATTCACACCTGCGATCGCACCTAAGGATAAAACAATTATAGGTACCAGGTGGATTTATAAAATTAAGAACTTAGAAGGAGGCAATACCTTATACAAGGCTAGACTAGTTGCACAAGGCTATGCACAAAAATATCCAGAAGACTATACTGATACATATTCACCCACAGTGAGAACAGAGAGTGTCAAAACAGCCCTTGTAGTAGCATCTGCACTCAATCTGGACGTATTCCAATATGACATACAGACCGCATACTTACATGCAAAATTAGATAAGGAAATATATGTAAGAGCACCACACAGTCAATACACTAATAAGAACGAAATTTGGTTATTAAATAAGAGTCTGTACGGATTAAAGCAATCCGGCAAAAGATGGTACGATTGCTTGGTAAAAGTACTTAAGACCATGAATTTCAACGCCACCACTGCTGATAACTGTTTCTTTGTAAAAAAGAGTAATGATCATATTGAATTTGTATTAATTTACGTGGACGATATTTTATACATTGGAAAGCATAAAGAGAGCAGGGAAATCTTTGTAAATAAGTTAAATGAACACTTCTCACTGAAATCTCTGGGTAAAGTGAATAAATACCTTGGTGTGCAAATTAACAAAACTAAAAGGGGATTCAAACTTACACAGAAAGATAAAATCATCGAACTCCTAAACAAATGTAACTTAAATAATGCTAAAACCTGTGACACCCCTATGCAAACTGATTTTCTTAGAAACACTGATGAATCTTCCCCTGAGTTTAAAGACAACACATTTTACAGATCAGTTATAGGTTCACTCCTTTATATATCTAATTGGACTAGGCCAGATATTGCATTACCTCTCAATCTATTGTCAAGATATGTTAGTAAACCAACCTTGTATCATTGGGAAGCTGTCAAAAGAATTCTAAGATATCTGAAGGGTACATTAGATTTTTGTTTAATGTTGGAACCCAATAATGACAGAGAACCAAAAATTACTTGTTATGCTGATGCAGATTGGGCTGGTGATACATCATGCAGAAAGAGTACTTCTGGTTATGTTTTTCTATTGAATGATTGTCCAGTTTACTGGTATACTGGTAAACAAGAACTAGTAGCCACTTCTACTACAGAAGCGGAATATGTTTGTTTGTCCAAAGCTGCAAATAACCTTGTATGGTTCAATGATCTGATCACTGATGTTTGGAAGAAACCCACCTTACCATTTATTATGCATGAAGACAATAAAGCGGCCATTGAAATATCCAGATCCGATGCAATTGGACAAAGGTCCAGGCATATTGATATAAAGTTTAAGCATGTGAGACAACTGTCTCAAGACGGATTCATTAAAGCAATACATTGCGATACTTCTGAACAATTAGCTGACATATTAACAAAACCCTTACCTTCTAAACAACACAAATATTTAACTTCTAAATTATATGTATTATATTGTCCTGAATCAGAATGTAATTGGTGTTGTGTAACGAACCGGCATTTAGAGGGGGATTTGTCAGATGTAAATGCCTTATTCTCCAATGTGTAAATAATGTATATATGGAACATCAGAGGTTAACTTATTCTTTGGACTTTAATGTATTCATAACTTACCACTCCCATTCCTAGCTCCACCCCTTGTATATATAAGGAGCCACCCTCACCATTCTCGTCGCTTCTACCTTGAATATTCAGTGAATATAGAATGCCTATCATAATTAAAAAGAAATATATTTAAAGCTTTAACTTCTATTATCTTTATTGAGTCTGATCCTGAAAATATTTCAACAGTTTATACATACTATCTGATTCAGCTGTATTTTAGTTTGCTAATAATACTGTGGATATTTTAATTCTTGGTTTAATTTACTATGGATTTTAATCATATAAGTCACTATTGTAAACTGTTAGAAGTCCGTGGCAGATTTGACAGTATAGAAATAGAATGAATATATCAAATAAATAAATATTTATGTAACCCTTAAGCACAATTATTTAGCAGAGCCTTACTGTCTAGCCTGCATTATTTATTTATTTATTATTCCAATTTATATGTCTGCCCATTTCAAGTTCATGAGTGGCTAACAATAATTAAAACAGTATAAAAACATAAAAACAAAGAAACAACACTAGCCCTATCCACAACTGGAGTAAAAACAAACTCACAATAACAGATCAACAACCGTTGTACAAGCTCAGCCACATCTCCAGATTGCCAGCCCCAGTAAGAGAACCATGTTTTTAAGGCCTTGTGAAAAGCCCAGCGGAATTGAAGCCAATCTAATCTTTAGACCAATAATGTTCCAAAGGGCAGGTGCTGTGTCAAGAAAGGCTGTCTGTAATAAAGAGGACCTGGAGCAGGCCTCTTTTTCATATCTGAAACCAGGAAAAATAATGCCTGATATGTGAACAAATAATTACATTGGCATTTGCTCCCTTTTCATTAATTTTGGCCCCAAATGTATCTGTATGAGCAGACTAATAAATACTTGGTTTTTTTCCTCTTTGAAAGTATGGAATTAAAGGAAAGTTTTGCATAATATAAAAAGAAATTTGATCAGGTGGTCAACATGGAGGTCACATTTGTCCTCTGGCACTCCATAGTGCAATATGGGCTTTGTGTTTCTTGAAAGGGTGCTGGGCAATTCCTATTGTGGCTAATGGCTTTTCATCCTATGTTGAATCTTGGGTGAGGGGCTGCTTATTCTGATTCTGTTTTTGTTAGCTGTCAGATTTTGCCACAGAGAGTTTTTGAAATATCCTGTCTTGAATAGGTTTCTGCCGATTGCGTTTGCTTTGCTTATGAATAGAGCCATCTTGGCATCTGCTGTGCACTATTAAGAAAGACTGGGGGCTGCTTTCTGCCTCTAAAACATGTTTCTTCATTTCTCCTTTAGGGAAATATAATATTCTGCCTTTTTAAATATTTCTTTCTTCTGGGAGTGGGTGGGTGGGGGGCTTCCCACAGTTAATAGAAATAAAATTTAATAATACTTCTAAAAGCGTTGATAACTCTATCCCCTCTCCCAATGTTGTCACATTGCCCCCCATATTTTGCAGAGGCAGAACACAAAACAGAAAATATAGATCCTGGGCCCCCACCATCAATTAGATCAAAGCCCTCTTTCTAGTTCAGTATTGTGTTGTCAACATTTTCAAAACACTATATTGGAGCAAAGTCTCCACAATACATGAATTGCACTGCTTTCTGTTTTCATAGCATGTGAGATAAGGGTCCTAATTTAACTTGACATTCCTGTCTTTTTGGCACTGAATTTCAAAATGCCTATTTTCTTCTTTTAATTAGAAGCATTTTATGTTTATATAATATTACTTTATAATCAATATCATTGAAAGCTTAAGTATTTTATCACTTTCCCTATCTTCAGTGATATGCAAGTATCAGGCAGCAGCATTCTAAAAGAAAAGCAGTATAAATATGTGTATTTGGTAAATGAAGTGTAAATAATCAGCTGATGCTAACATTTTAAGAGATTCCACAATGGCATACATACCAAAGAATAAACAAATGAATAATTCAAATGAAAAAAGAAAACCCACTGTGATGAAAAAAATACAAAAAGAAGAATACCAAAGCAACACCCCCCACACACGCTGAAATATAGAAAATAAAGGCCTTAAACAATAAATTATACTTTGGCCACATGGAATAATATTACACCATCAGTAAAAGTTCAGCTCACATGTAAAAAGTGAGCATATGTCTTCCATCCAGAGTGGTTTAGAAGCTTTCTAATAAAGTAAATCAGTTTATTTAGTAGTAACCCATACTTTGTACATTCAAACTTCTTCATATTTTAATGATGTCTAGGATCTTACCAATTTCTTTAAAATACTTTGCAAACAGGGATTCTTTCAAGAATATAAATTAATGTGTGGCATAACGTTGGATAGAAACTTGAATCTGTTGATTTATGCTAGAGAGCTTTAATTACAGAAAAAAATATTTTTGGGGATTTTTGAATCTTAATTTAGAGGCCAATGATATACTATGCTTTTTCTCATTCCCAGTAGTCTTGTTTTCGCAATTAAAAAATAAAAGATAAAAAGATCAGAATGATTAAGATACATTTTAGTAGACATTAAAGCATTCTATAATTCCCATGGCAGTTGTCTTGCATAATTGTTCAAAAAATTAAATCTTGTTTTATCTGCTTTATTTATTAAAAGTGTGTCTTTTAATAATCATGTATTTGTTTATTTATTTTCTTTAAAACCATCAGGAGAGAGGATAGAATGTGATTGGAGATTGTAATTTATGACTTATATTTTCATGACTTTCATTATTTGAAATTCTGCTACAATCTATTAAATCCAAATTTGATTAAATCTTTAGACTTTATTATCTGATTGAATCAGGTTTGGTTGATTGAACCAAACTATGTAAAAAATTTAAAGCCATCTCTAGTAGAACCATACTTGTGATAGAATCATAGCCTCTTTAGCAGCTAAACATAGCAAGTGGGCGGGAAGGAATGGAAACATTTGGTCTAATGGAAAAGATGATGAGCATATATAAACTGAGAAGCATAAAATAGATTAGGAAAAAAAACGAAACAAAGCAATCCTATCTTGCTTCAGAACCTGGAAGAAGCTATATAATTTTCTTTGTAACTTCCCATTCTTGTGACTCTCTGAGTTGATAGGAAAAGAAAATAATACCAGAGGTTTTGTTTTTGTAGGAGCAAATAAATCTTTTGTAGCTGGCTCCTTAAAAATACTTCACAGTTCCATAGCTTTTAGCCTAAATCTATTTGATTAAAAGCATAGCTGGTATACTTACTTTTATTATAGATGCATAAAATAATAATCTAGCATCGATGCATCAGTACCAGTTCAATAATGTTACAGGAGCATCTGGCTCTATCTCTATACTAAGGTATGCAGATGTAAACTCATTCCAGAATCATCAAATGTGTGTATTTGATCAGAAACAATGCTTTATCTGCCTATGCCAGCACAAGGATTAGCAAAGCTAGACTAATGTATAAGTAAATATATCTCATTTGCACAGCATAATAAGATATACTTTATCGATAAACCAGCCCTCTGTTGGTGAGAACTGCTCTGATTTTGCCATTCACTTGTTCAACTGTAAAGCTGTAGACCATTTTATCTTTTGTTAGTGTGTTGTTCAGAGCAGGGATGCTGGCTTTCCTCTTGTAACAAATAATAGTCTTTCTCCACCCTTTGGTTTATTTCAAATGGAAGAAACTAGAATATTTTCATGGTAAGCTAACTTAGAAATATTTGTTTATGGAATGTGCCTATAGAAGTAGGGATTTTCACTTACTTTCGCTACTGGTTCAGAACTGAGCACACATGCATTTGCTTCGCTCGTGCGCAGCACTTCTGCACATGCACAGAGGGTCCATGATGACGTTTGGGTGGGTGGGTAGAGCCTCCCGCTGCCACTACTGGTTCACTCGAACCAGGGTGAATCGGTAGAAACCCACCACTGGCCTATAGGCGTAATCTGAGTTTCTTCACTACTATGCTGCTTCTTCACTTACAAGTTACAATACTGCTATGTCAAGCTTGTTGAAAGCATTCAGAAATGTCACTATGTGAAAAATATAATAAGTAGACTGCTGATTGGAATTTGTTGTGGTGACTGTGTAATATATACTACATTTACTTGAAAGGAAGACTAGTTCCATCCTGCCCAAATAATTTATACTTAAAATGAAAGTGATTTTATATTTGCTGGGAACACCATAATGGATTCACAGACTAAGTTTTCTGTCTAATCTCTGTGGGTGAGTGAAGGGATAACTTCACTTTGGATGAATTTTGTGATAATGCCACTGGCTTCCAGTTTGTTTCCTTGAGGTTTGGAAGCTATTTTGGGCCTCTGTGAGATGGAGTGTACATCTGGAAAGGGAAGGGGGGGCATCTCTGCAATAGCACCATGATTTCCAGGGAAGAGGCAGAGAGAGAGACTCAAAATAAGAGACTGTGCAGTCCAAAATTGGATGGGGGAGGGAGGGAAAGGTTCAGGGAAGCCACACCCTAGTATCTTCCAGGGTACATTTATTAGTTTGTAGCTTTAATCTGGCAAGATTCTGTTTATTAAATGTAAAGAAAAAACGAACTGGATTCAATTCGATTTCACTGTGTCATCTTTGGGCTTAGTTGTAATTTCCCTGATATCTAAAGGATTCTCTGTGCATGCATATTTTGTTCTCCAAAAGAGCTTTACATTTTCATTCAAATGCAAAGCATTTTTTTTTTACTGTGCTAACTTTTGGAGTAATTTTCTTTGAGAAATTCAGCATTTATTCTATATGCTTAGAATTCAAGGTAAACATTTCTTTATTCAGACATACTTTTCAATAATATATCTTTACATTTTAGTTGGGTTATTTGTTATATCTTTCTGTTGGTATTACTTTTTTAATTACACTTAAAAATTATGCCTGACTAGGTGACTCAGTGGCTAAAATACTGAGCTTGTCGATCAGAAAGGTTGGCAGTTCGGCGGTTCGAATCCCTAGTACAGGTTTCCTGCGTGAGCAGGGGGTTGGACTAGATGACCTCCAAGGTCCCTTCCAACTCTGTTACTGTTACCTGTTATACTGTTATAACATCTTTAAAAAGGAAGAGAAAGAATTCAATACAGGTAGTCCTTTACTTATGAATGCAGTTGAGCCCAGAATTTATGTTGCTAAGTGAGAAATTTGTTAAGTGAGTTTTGTCCCATTTTACGACTTTTTTGCCACATTGTTAAGTGAATCACAACAGTTATTAAATTAGTAACATGGTTGTTAAGTAAATCTGGGTTCCCCATTTATTTTGCTGGTCAGAAGGTTGCAAAAGATGGTCAAGTGACCCGGCGACACTGCAACTGTCATAAATATGAACCAATTGTGAAGCATCTAAATCATGTGACCAAAGAGGATGCTGCAGTGGTCATAAGTGTAAAAATGGTCATAAGCCACTTTTTTCAGTGCCGTTGTAACTTCAAACGGTCACTTAACAAATTGTTATAAGTCGAGGATTATCTGTAATACAGGTTCTGTAAATAAATAAAAAAGATGTTGATTGCTAACTGAGAATGTATGTACCTTACATTACATTCTCAGTAAATTACTACTATAAATAACATAGTTCATCATCATATATATTGTGTAATTTGTTTTGTTGAATACTTTCTGCATACAAAGTAATGCTACACGTGCTGTGAAGTTACAGTATTTATTGTTTGTTTGTTTATTTATTTGCTTTACTTTAAATTACTTTGCTGCCTATCTCGCCATGGGGCTACTCTAGGTTTACAATAAAAAGGAAGAGATGAAAAGAGTGTAAATAAAACTGAAATAAAATAATAGAACAGTAAAATAAC